CGCCGCCGGCCCCAGCCAGGGAGGCCCGCCCAGGCCCGCCCCTCGCCTGGTTCGCCCCGCCCCTCGCCTGGTACGCCCCGCCCTTGTGCTGTCCTCAGATCCGCCTGATTGTATTTATGATCTCGCCTTGGTCGTCCGGGCGGGTCGCCGGGAGCAAAGGCGCGCGAATATTGGTTGAAGACCCCTGGTCCCCTTAGTCTGGGCCATGTCTGACGGTCCCGCTCTGGAGGGAGACTGTTGCCGGCGGCGAAGCGGCGCGCAGGTAGGGGCGGGGCGGGGCCGCCAGTGCCTTTTATTCCGAGGAGGCGAGGCGATGGGGGGTACGCGGCGGAGGCTTCCGGGCAGCTGGGACGCAATCCCCACGCGACCCCCGCGCGCTGCAGCCCACGCTCCACAGGGCGACCTGCAGGCTCGCGCCGCTCCCGTGGCTGGGCTGTGTCCTACAGCGGGAGCTGGGCACCTGAAACGTTAAGAAAAGGAAAAATAACGGAGGAGAGTCTTCAGTGTGTGTTTCAAAGCAGCTTATCATCATCAGGAAGTCAGGCCAGTCGAGGAAACTTGCAGCACTGGAGTGAACTGGAGCAAAGACTGAGCTCTCCCGCGTCCCTGTGCGCCATGGCGACCAGCCCAACGTTTGCAAACCACGTCCCTAGGGGTGGGCAAACTTTTTGACTGGAGGGCCACAATGGGTTCTTAAACTGGACCGGAGGGCCGGAACAAAAGCATGGATGGAGTGTTTGTGTGAACTCATATAAATTCAAAGTAAACATCATTACATAAAAGGGTACGGTCTTTTTTTCCAATAGCTTTATTCATTTCAAACAAGCCGGATCCCGTGCAGGCCGTAGTTTGCCGCAGCCCTAGGCCCTAGGCACACGGGAAACCTTCCCTGGGACGGAGCTGTGCCTCAGTAGCCAGAACCTTCCCTCGAAGCAGTTTTCCTGCCTCAGTTTACTAAGTTAGTGGTTCTCAACCTTCCTAATGCCACGACCCTTTAATACAGTTCCTCATGTTGTGGTGACCCCCAATTTCATTGTTACAAATTGAACATAATTAAAGCATAGTGGTTAATCACAAAAACAATGTGTAATATTATATGTGTTTTCCGATGGTTGTAGGCGACCCCTGTGAAAGGGTCATTCGACCCCCAAAGGGGTCTCAACCCACAGGTTGAGAACCGCTGCTCTAAGCACCTCAGGTGGGCCTCTGGGGAGCATCCTCTCACGTCCCGCTAAGTAGCTACCCGTAAACCTCACCATCTAGCCTCATCCTCTGCCCCAAGCCTGTTTCACAGATGACCTTGAGTTTTCTTCAGTTTTCTCACCCAAAGTTAATCCTTTCTTTTTAATTTCTAAATACCTTCCAAGTCCATCTCCACCATCACTTCCTTGCAATTTCCTTTATAATCTCTTCCCACTGCCTCCTTACTGGTCTGGTCTCTTGCTTCCTTGGTCACCACCTTCATCCTCTTCTTTCCACTGCTGTTGTATCGTAAATCGGCGACGCCTTAATGAGCCAACTAATTAGGAGTCGTTTATTGTGCTTGGCCCAGAGGGAGGTGTTTTTTTCCAAATCTCTGAGCGAAGTGCACACAGGAAGTTTCCTGCATTTATATCTTTTGAGCTTTGCAGATTTTTCAAAGAGCTCTGTGTGAGTTATTGTTACAGGCAGTTGGTAATCTTGGATACATAAAGAACAAACATTTGGCATAAGAATATGAGAATTATTATCACTATTAGTCCATTACCTTAGATGGCTAGCTTGCAAGGTCAGACAGTGAAGTTTTTATCTTTTTCTGTTATTCAAACTAAAACAGTTATTTCATAGAATAAGAGACTGTCTAAAAATGACAGAGTTTACAGAACAAGGGACTGTCTAACAATAGCAGAGAATTTCAAACAGCAGTTTTTATACAAGATGGAGGTTACTATGCTTCACTGCCACTGTAGAAATGTTGCCAACCCAAGATTTGGTCATGTCTATCTAAAACCACTCAGTGGTTTTCAAGTACCTATAACATAAAGTCCAAACTCCTGTGCATCTGCCTCCCTCTCCCCTCCATTCCACAGAACCTAATTTAGGACCAGTTCCAACTACTGGAGTGCTCTCTGACTGAAATGCCCTTTCTCTGTACCTACCCAGCTTATTCCCAGTCCATTAAGACTTAGCACACCCATCCCCTCCTCTATGAAGCTTTTCCTAACTACTGCTCCCTCCCACTCAGAGCTTTCTGCTCCCGCAATGCCCAGGACCAGTTGCTGGATGAATGAATGAATGAATGAGAGTGCTCCATAATTAATACTGAAAGAAAGGTACATGGAGCAAATGCTGTGTCACAGAGTCCAAGGAAGGGGCTGGGCTAGAGGCTAAATACCTTCCAAGTCCATCTCCACCATCACTTCCTTGCAATTTCCTTTATAATCTCTTCCCACTGCCTCCTTACTGGTCTGGTCTCTTGCTTCCTTGGTCACCACCTTCATCCTCTTCTTTCCACTGCTGTTGTATCGTAAATCGGCGACGCCTTAATGAGCCAACTAATTAGGAGTCGTTTATTGTGCTTGGCCCAGAGGGAGGTGTTTTTTTCCAAATCTCTGAGCGAAGTGCACACAGGAAGTTTCCTGCATTTATATCTTTTGAGCTTTGCAGATTTTTCAAAGAGCTCTGTGTGAGTTATTGTTACAGGCAGTTGGTAATCTTGGATACATAAAGAACAAACATTTGGCATAAGAATATGAGAATTATTATCACTATTAGTCCATTACCTTAGATGGCTAGCTTGCAAGGTCAGACAGTGAAGTTTTTATCTTTTTCTGTTATTCAAACTAAAACAGTTATTTCATAGAATAAGAGACTGTCTAAAAATGACAGAGTTTACAGAACAAGGGACTGTCTAACAATAGCAGAGAATTTCAAACAGCAGTTTTTATACAAGATGGAGGTTACTATGCTTCACTGCCACTGTAGAAATGTTGCCAACCCAAGATTTGGTCATGTCTATCTAAAACCACTCAGTGGTTTTCAAGTACCTATAACATAAAGTCCAAACTCCTGTGCATCTGCCTCCCTCTCCCCTCCATTCCACAGAACCTAATTTAGGACCAGTTCCAACTACTGGAGTGCTCTCTGACTGAAATGCCCTTTCTCTGTACCTACCCAGCTTATTCCCAGTCCATTAAGACTTAGCACACCCATCCCCTCCTCTATGAAGCTTTTCCTAACTACTGCTCCCTCCCACCCAGAGCTTTCTGCTCCCGCAATGCCCAGGACCAGTTGCTGGATGAATGAATGAATGAATGAATGAATGAGAGTGCTCCATAATTAATACTGAAAGAAAGGTACATGGAGCAAATGCTGTGTCACAGAGTCCAAGGAAGGAGTGATCCTTGCTACCATGAGAGAAGGAATATAGGTGAAGTGGGTAGGGGGCCTGGTGTAAAGGCTGACAAGCAGGAATCTGGCAGCTACAGCTGGGATTATTAGAGATCCAGCATAAGCAATAACAGTGCAAAGACAAAGTATTCTTGGCTGGCTAGAAAATGTCTTAGTTACCTATTGCTGCATAACAAGTATCCCAGAACTTAAGCTTAAAACAGAAACATTGGGGCTTAGGAATCTGGGAGAGTTTAGTTTGAGGTTCTGGCTCAGGGTCTGTCATGAGTTGACAGCCAACCTGTCAGCTGGAGCTACAATTCATGTCAAGACTTGACTTCAGCTAGAGTGAGTTTCCAAGCCCCTCATGTAGTTGTTGGCAGGCCTCTGTTCCTCCCTGATTTTTGACCACTGGTCTCAGTTCTTCACCACGTGGCCTTCTGCATAGGCTGTCTGAGTCTCTCGAGCACCAAGTGAACTGAAGGAGAGAGGACAACCAAGATGGAAGCTATAGTCTTATAGCCTAATCCCAAGTGATATAGTACCGTTCGGCAGTAGTCTGTTGGGCATACAGACCAACCCTGGTACAGCGTAGGAGAGGAACTATCTACCATGGTGTGAACACCAGGGGGTCTTTAAGAGCCTTCCTGATGGTTGACATCCACAGCTAGGTTGAATAGAACTGGGAGATGTATGTAAAAAAAGTGAAAGTATTTGAAAAGTTAAATTAGGGCAAGAAAGCAGAAGGACTTGGACTGAAAAGGTAGTGTTTTGCCATTAGATGATGTAAGGAGCGGAGTTCAATGATCAAAATAGTTTACTATTTTAGTACTAATAGCAGAGTGAAGGGTAAGCTGGGGAAGGAGAACTTGTAGGCGAGGAGACCAAATAGGAAAAGATAATCTTAATCCTCCCCAAATATCAGTCTCTGAAAGAATTTTTACTGGACTACTGCATAATAAAAATAAGGACAATGAAAGAGTGAAGTTCACAAAATTAATTGCATTTCATTTCAAGGATTAGCCTTCATTCTAAGATTATCCTTTCTACTTTTCTTATGTTAAAAATGTATTTTATTACCCCAGCTGGTTTGGCTCAGAGGATAGAGCGTCTGCCTATGGAATGGAGGGTCCCAGGTTTGATTCTGGTCAAGGGCACATGCCCGGGATGCCGGCCCGATCCCTAGTAGGGGACATGCAGGAGGCAGCCGATCAATGATTCTCTCTCATCATTGACGTTTCTATCTCTCTCTCCCTCTCCCTTCCTGCCTGAAATCAATAAAAATACATTTAAAAAATGTACTTTATTTTTGAAAGAAGGTGATAGTAATTGTTAAGTATAATTAATGCTATCACTTGGCAATCTTATGTCAGTCCCTAAAATTTAAAAATACAACTACTGATCTTGAACTTCACTAGTCTGAGAATCACTGGTCCAGATTATTAATATAAAGAAACTGATACACAGAAAGGGTCACTGACTTGCCTTAGGGTCTTCTGATTTCTAGTTAGGGCTTGTCTAATGTGAAGAAGAGTTT